TGAAGGTTGAACCATTCCTCCCAACAATTGGAGGTTGGTGTATGTAGTCCACGAACAACCTAAAAAATGAAATTTGGAAAAATTTTGAATAACTATAATTTGTCTCAGTTGAAAATGAACATGTTTTTAAGAATTAAGTCAGTTAATTTTTGATAAAATTCTTTTTTTATTGAGTGTTATTTGAGCTGTTGGACATTATTGACAATAATCTAATGCTGGAATTTTTGGATATCTAGTTTTAAGATGAAAAAAATGTAAACGAGAAATAACAATTTGGCTTAAATATAAGATTATAATAAAACCCTGGTGATTTTGTGTAATTAAGATATTGTGGAAAGTATGAAATCTAATCGGTTAGTAATGGGTAAAAGATAATCATAATGTTGAAAATGTTTATTTTATTTGGGTGTAATTTCACACCATAATAACTATTAAATTGACAAAAGAAAAAAGAAAGATTTTTTGATGTTAGGTTTATGATATGACTTCAAATTTTTACGGTAATATTACCTGATGTTGATGTGACCGCTGTAGTTCCTGCGTAAAAATAACAATTAATTAGAAATAGATTGAATAAAAGTAGTCTATATTTATAAATTATTATTGCGTGTCTTTAAATAAAAATATTTTGTTACTTTCAACCTGAACAAATGTAATGGTTAATTCCAGATGCGCTGATAGTCGGAACAGCTGAAGAAGTGAATGTGAAACATTGCGAGCCTACGCCGTTATTAGGAACCCATTCAATGGCTTGACATCCTGGAGTACTGGCACAAAGATTTTGGCAGGCAGGTAATGAAGTCACTGAAGATTGAACCATTCCTCCGAACAATTGGAGGTTGGTGTATGTAGTCCACGAACAACCTGAAAATTGAAATTTGGAAAAATTTTCAATAACTATAATTTGTCTCAGTTGAAAATGAACATGTTTTTTAGAATTAAGTCAGTTAATTTTTGATAAAATTCTTTTTTTATTGAGTGTTATTTGAGCTGTTGGACATTATTGACAATAATCTAATTCTGGAATTTTTGGATATCTAGTTTTCAGATGAAAAAAATGTGAACGATGAATAGCAATTTGGCTTAAATATAAGATTATAATAAAACCCTGGTGATTCTTTGTGTAATTAAGATATTGTGGAAAGTATAAAATCTAATTGGTTAGTTATGGGTGAAAGATAATCACAATGTTGAAAAAGTTTATTTTATTTTGGTGTAATTTCACACCATAATAACTATTAAACTTGACAAGAAAAAAAAAGAAATAGATTTTTTGATGTTAAGTTTATTTATATAACTTTATATATTTACAGTAATCTTACCTGATGTTGATGTGACCGCAGTAGTCCCTGCGTAAATACAACAATTAATTAGAAATAGATAAAATAAAAGTAGTCTATATTTATAAATTATTATTGCGTGTCTTTAAATAAAAATATTTTGTTACTTTCAACCTGAACAAATGTAATGGTTAATTCCAGATGCGCTGATAGTCGGAACAGCTGAAGAAGTGAATGTGAAACATTGCGAGCCTACGCCGTTATTAGGAACCCATTCAATGGCTTGACATCCTGGAGTACTGGCACAAAGATTTTGGCAGGCAGGTAATGAAGTCACTGAAGGTTGTACCACTCCTCCGAACATTTGTAGGTTGGTGTATGTAGTCCACGAACAACCTGAAAAATGAAATTTGGAATGATTGTTCATAACTAAAGTTTTTCTCAGTTGAAAAGGAACATATTTGTAAGAATTAAGCCAGTTAATTTTTGATGAAAATTCTTGTTTTTATTGAGTGTTGTATGAGCTGTTGGACATTATTGACAACAATCTAATGCTGGAATTTTTGGATATCTAGTTTTCAGATGAAAAAAATGTAAACGAGAAATAACAATTTGGCTTAAATATAAGATTATAATAAAACCCTGGTGATTTTGTGTAATTAAGATATTGTGGAAAGTATGAAATCTAATCGGTTAGTAATGGGTAAAAGATAATCACAATGTTGAAAATGTTTATTTTCTTTTGGTGTAATTTTATACCATAATAACTATTAAACTTGACAAAAGATAAAGTTATAGATTTTTCGATGCTTAGTTTATGATATTACACCAAACGTTTTATGGTAATTTTACCTGGAGTTGATGTGACCGCTGTAGTCCCTGCGTGAAAATAACGAATAATTAGAAAAAGATTGAATAAAAGTAGTCTGTATTTATAAATTATTATTGCGTGTCTTTAAATAAAAATATTTTGTTACTTTCAACCTGAACAAATGTAATGGTTAATTCCAGATGCGCTGATAGTCGGAACAGCTGAAGAAGTGAATGTGAAACATTGCGAGCCTACGCCGTTATTAGGAACCCATTCAATGGCTTGACATCCTGGAGTACTGGTACATAGATTTTGGCAGGCAGGTAATGAAGTCACTGAAGATTGAACCATTCCTCCGAACAATTGGAGGTTGGTGTATGTAGTCCACGAACAACCTGAAAATTGAAATTTGGAAAAATTTTCAATAACCATAATTTGTCTCAGTTGAAAATGAACATGTTTTTAAAAATTAGGCCAGTTAATTTTTGATAAAATTCTTTTTTTATTGAGTGTTATTTGAGCTGTTGGACATTATTGACAATAATCTAATGCTGGAATTTTTGGATATCTAGTTTTCAGATGAAAAAAATGTGAACGATGAATAACAATTTGGCTTAAATATAAGATTATAATAAAACCCTGGTGATTCTGTGTAATTAAGATATTTTGGAAAGTATGAAATCTAATTGGTTAGTTATGGGTGAAAGATAATCACAATGTTGAAAATGTTTATTTTATTTTGGTGTAATTTCACACCATAATAACTATTATACTTGACAAGAAAAAAAAAGAAATAGATTTTTTGATGTTAAGTCTATGATATGACTTCATATATTTAAAGTAATCTTACCTGATGTTGATGTGACCGCGGTAGTCCCTGCGTAAAAATAACGAATAATTAGAAAAAGATTGAATAAAAGTAGTTTATATTTATAAATTATTATTGCGTGTCTTTAAATAAAAATATTTTGTTACTTTCAACCTGAACAAATGTAATGGTTAATTCCAGATGCGCTGATAGTCGGAACAGCTGAAGAAGTGAATGTGAAACATTGCGAGCCTACGCCGTTATTAGGAACCCATTCAATGGCTTGACATCCTGGAGTACTGGCACAAAGATTTTGGCAGGCAGGTAATGAAGTCACTGAAGATTGAACCATTCCTCCGAACAATTGGAGGTTGGTGTATGTAGTCCACGAACAACCTGAA